TCTGAGTAATTAGAATGTACAGGTCTGAGCCACCCATGCCTTGCATACATGGTTTAATTTTCTTTTCTTTTTTTTTGTATGTGCTTGTCCTGGGGCTTGAACTAAGGGCCTGAACACTGTCCCTGAGCTTTCACGCTCAAAGCTAGCTCTCTACCACTTGAGCAACATCTCCTTTTCCAGCAGTTTTGGTAGTTTATTGAAGAAAAGAGTCTCATAGACAAAAGGTGAGATAAGGTGATTTTAGGGAAATGAATCCTAAGATATGTATTCAATTTTTTCTTCTTTCACGCGATTGTTTCTAACACATTTATAAGATTATTTCTTTGTTGCTTTGTATGTCCCTCCCCCACAGTATAACCCCTGCTTTCACTGTATTTCATGTCAGTATAATTTGTGGAGGGAAAGGGAAAAAACAAATCGTTTAAATAGGGATACAGGTGGACCCATTGCAACAATGAGAAGTACAAGTCGTTATGTCGAAAACGAACTTTACAACTTTGGTGGGGGGGGGGGAAGAGGAGATTGGGTGGGGGGGCAGGAGGAGGATGGGAAGGGATAGGAAGGGAAACAAAGGAGGAGGCTACAATGCTTGATAAGAAATGTACTCATTACTTGCCCATGTAATTGTAACCCCTCTGTACAGTATTTTCACAATTAAAAAAAAAAGAGTCTCACAGACCTTCCTGCCTGAGCTGGCTTTGAACTGCGGTCCTCAGATCTCAGCCTCCTGCAGTAGCTAGGATTACAGGCATGAGCTCAGCTGGAGCCCCAGGGTTTACTTTTTAAGAATGGCTGTGGCTTATTATCTTGCCCATGTAATTGTAACCCCTCTGTACAGTATTTTCACAATAAAAAAAAACAAAAAAAATACTTTTAAAAAATGGCTGTGGCTGACAATGAACTTGGTAACTTTCTGAAAAGTTACCCATTGATCCCAGGAGTCAGCATACACGGACCTTCGGGACCCCAGTGGACAGAAAAGCAGAGTTAGATCTGACTGCCTGGCAGGTCATTGCTGCCCCGTTCTTTCCCCCTCCGCCCCCAACACGAAGGATGCTAAGCAGCGCGGGAGAGGCGCGGCCGGCTCAAGTCCTCTGAGTTGCCTCAGTGTGATGTCCACGGCCGCCCAGCTGGCCAGGGTGCGCAGGCGGGGGTGTCCAGGCATGAGGGGGACGTTTTCCGTCACTCGGGGTAAACACAAGTTTCCACGCAGAATGAAAACACAGGCAGGCTGGCTTGGCAGAGGATGCTGCCAGCGGGCACACCTGACTCCCCCCCTCTACGGGGATTCCCAGAACCCGGCTATTTCTAGGCCTCCCTCCTTCCCCCAGACCTTCTGAGTCATCATCTCTCCAAGGTAATGCTCAGGAACTCCCTAGAAGGTCTTGGGTAGTCACCACCGGCTGGGCCAGGACTCTGGGCCTATGACTGCTTTTGTACACTGACCAGGTGGAGCTGTGGTTCATCTCTGGGCATCCCCACCCTTGAGCAGGTGAGTTTGTCCCAAACAGACTTATAGAGTAGGGAATAACACAGGTGCTGGGCTCTCAGATTAGAACCCAGGCTCTGGTGCTAGCTGTGTGCCTTTGGGGTGAGTTATATAACCACTCTGAGCCTCTGATGACAAGTGAGAGCAATAATGGTTGTTGTGGAGATTAAATGAGATTGTGTGCATAAAGAAATCATGGTCAGCCACGTGCCGGTGGCTCACGCCAGTAATCCTAGCTACACAGGAGACTGAGATCTGAGGACCATGGTTCAAAGCCAGCCCAAGCAAGTAAAGTCAATGAGACTCTTACCTCCAATTAACTACCAGAAAACTGGAAGTGGTGCTGTGTTCAAGTGGTAGAGCACTCACCTTGAGCTGAAGAGCTTAGGGACAGCACCCAGGCCGAGAGTTCAAGCCCCATGACTGACCAAAAAAAAAAAGGAAGAAAGAAATCATGGTCAGTATCTGAGCTGTGCTGGTGATTATGCCTGTAATCCCAGCTACTCGGGAGGCTGAGATCCATAGAGGATCAGCAGTTGGACACTAGCCCAGGTAGAAATGTCTGTGAGACTCCATCTCCAGAATAATGAGTGAAAAGCAGGACTGGAGGTGCGGCTCGAGTGGTAGAGGGCCAGCCAAGCAAGGACAAGTCCCTGAGTTCAAAACCCCAGAACTGCCCCCCACCTCCCAAAAAAGCACCATGACCAGTGCCGGAAGCGGTCCGCACCCTTACCAATGGCAGGTGTGGTTATGAAGTGCACGTGGCTGGACAAGCATGTTAGAAGTCCCAAGCCAGTGCCATGCTCTTGGATCCCTGCAACCAAGAGCTAATCAAAACCTCTTTCCTTTATAAAGCACCATGTCTTGGGTGTTTTATTATAGATGGACTAAAAAGCGCAGACTTAGGAGACACATGGCATTTAGTTATTCGTGGTTCCACAGTGTGTAAGATGGTGAAGATCTATCTACTTGGTGGGGTGGTGCCTGGGGCTGGAATGGGAGGAATGTTCAAGATGGCACCTCAGCTGGGCCATTCTCTCTCCCCCTCCCCCTCCCCGCATCTCTGAGGGGCTTCTTCACAGCATAGTTTTCAAGGTACTTTGATTTCTCCCATCATCATGTGGCTTCCTCCAGAGCACAGAAGTGGACACTGCGGCTTCCTTAGCAGGGGGGCTTCAGAGTGGTTGCCACTTCCGCCCTCCTGCATTGACTACTATAGCCCAGGGTGAGCTGGCCACAGGGAGCCCGGGGCTGCCAGGGAGGGGTCAGTGTCCCCCAAGGCCATTCTTAGCCACCAAGCAGCGACAACCAATGGAAAAATGAAGTTACCAAATCTTCAGCACGATGATGACTCCGTGTGGGGCCCTCTGCATCCGCTGCCGGGCTGGGCCCTGGCTGCGCCCTATAAGCTCTCGAGTGGTTTGTCTCTCTTGCTCTTTCTTCTCTCCCTCTGCCTCCACTTCCCTTCCTGCCACTGCTGACCAGCTCCTGATCTAGCCTTAGGCCTTGCTCCCTTAGCAAAGCCAAATCAAGACATTGGGTTCCCTTCTTTGAAAAGTTAAGCTGGGTCATACAATGCTGCAGCTGGCTCTGGGGCTTGAGGAATGGATGCGAAAGGTTTCTGTGGGCTGGGTGTGAGCAGAGGTATTTCCTGGTTTGCACGGGGCGGGGGGGGGGGATGGCTTTGGTGGGGGGAGCGAGGACTGCAGGGAAGGCAGACCCAGCTGCTCTCATCATTTGAGGGGGGGAGGGGGGAGGGAGGGCTATATAAGATGCAGACAGCCAATACTGCCTGGGGCGGGCTGTGTCCCCAGCCTGCCCTCCAGACTCAGGTGACTTGGCGCTAGGTGAGGTGACTCACCAGGCCACCTCAGCCGGCGACAAGGTGCCTCAAGATCATCCACCCAGATTTGCCGGGACTTGCCCTTGTGGAACAAGCTTTGCCCCCTGATTTGGCCAGCCCTGAGACTGCCAAAGGGAGGGACCCAGGTTCTGGTCATTCACCCAACGTTTAGTAAACACTCTGGGCCTTGAGCTGGGAACAAAGGTGAGCCAGTCACTCCCAGCTACCCGCTTCCTACCAGGGGAGGGCGCTTGAGAGCAGGAGACCAGGAACCAGATCACTGCACTGAGAGGCAGACTGCTGAGGGGCCTTGCCACAGAAAGAGACCTGGCCCCAAGCTAAGATCCACGGTCAGTGCAGCGGGTCTTAGGCCTGACTAAGGAGGAAGAGAGGAAGGGCACCTAGGGACTCCTGAAATCTCATGAGAGGAAGTGCAGACCCCAGAGAAGTGGGTGAAAGAGAAGGCTGGAAAGAAAGGCCCCAGGGATAGCAGTGGGAGCTCCCCCGACCCCAGGAAGTTGCTTTGAGGATAAACCCTGCAAGTGGACCATAGTAGCTAGTAGCGGCAGGGAGGCTCATTCCTTCACTCAGTGGATACCCACGGAGCCCTCCCACGGACCAGGCCTGTGCTGTTGGAGGGAACCAAGTGAGGGGTTATTGTGATTGGACCCAGGATGAAGATCAGGGCGGGGAGAAGGGGCAGAGGTCTCAGGAAGTGGCCCACTGGATCCTGGACAGCTCACAGACTGGCATTTGATTTCTGGGCCAGCTATGCATGTGGAAACCAAGAACCTGTTGTTTCAGCCAGGTGCCATGGTTCACGCCTGTAATCCTAGCTACCCAGGAGTCTGAGATCTGAGGATCGTGGTTCAAAGCTAGCCCAGGCAAAAAGTCTGTGAGACTCTTATCTCCAATAAATCACTCAGAAATCCAGAAGTGGTGCTGGGGTTCAAGTGGTAGAATGCCAGCCTTGAGCTGAAGAGCTGAGGGACAGTGCTCAGGTCCAGAGTTTAAGCCCCATGACAAAAACAAAAACATCAAGAAAACTGTTATTTCAAGAGAGAACTACCTAGGAATGGTGCTATATGCTGAGGTAGGAAGACTGAGTTTGAGGTCAGCTCAGGTTATAAAGCAAGACCCTGTCTAAAATAGAACAAAGCCAGTTGGGTGCAGGTGGCTCATGCCTAGCTACTCAGAAGGCTGGGAGCTAAGGATCATAGTTCAAAGCCAGCTCAGGCAGAAACTCTTACCTCCACTTAATCACTAAAAAGCCAAATATGGAGCTGTGGCTTAAGTGTTAAGAATACAAGCCTTGAGCAAAAGTGCCCAGACCCTGAGTCCAAGACCCAGGACTGGTGTATGCATGCATGCGGTGCATGTGTGTGCACACATGGCCAAACTGAAAGAGCTGACGAGCAGAGCCCTCAGCACATTTCAGGGTCCCTCAGAGAGGCCGCTGTTTCCAGAGACCCTTCCCAAGGGAACGGGGTCCACTCTAAGCTTCACAATTCTCCCTGTGCAATTCCTACTGACACTAATCTTCATGTTCCCCGCCCCCACACACCCTAGATCTTCACAGGGCCTTCCAGACCACCCCCAAACCCTCTATATCTTCCTTTGTCCTCCTTCCCCAAAGGCCACAAACATAACACAGAAAGGCAGCTTGTCCACATGTTTTATTCTAAAAAAAAAAAAAAAGAAGAAAGAAAAAAGAAGAACAGGTTTAAAATAAATTACATTTGCCGCCATTGCCGTTACGTACACACAGTGTGACTCTTGGGGCTGGCCAGCTACAAGAGGAAATCCTGACATCTCTCACAGAAGTTCCAGACTGCTCTTCACACCCCTAGGCTGACGGCCAGTCCCCATAACCATTTGAGACGATAAGAGAGGCCAGCTCTGGGCTGTGTGCACACATGTGCAGGGTCTGGCCCCACACCAGAGGGGCACAGGCTAGGGGTACCTGGGAGAGAGGGGCTCAGCGTGGGCCTCCATGCCACGCAGCGCCCCTCCCCACCCTGGCCACCCGCCGGCCACCGTGATATCCTGGCAGTCAACAGCACAGTCGGCTGTCAAGAATGTCCTCGTTGAGTCTGGGGGGGTAGACGTCCCGATGCTGGGGTCCCCTGCCCACTCCCCATGGCTAGGAAGCCAATAGCAGGTTGTAGGTATCAAAACATGAACCGAAGAACAGCAGTTCATTTAAAAAAAAAAAGGCAAAAACATGGGGGGAAGAGGGGGGGCTGGCCCGAAGGGGAGCGTGGTTGAAACCCTAGAATGTCAGCAGCAGCGAGTTCGACGCACCCCTTGCCGGCGGAGAGTTGGCGGACAGTTTCACATTTTCTTGGCTCTCCAGCCCCAACACGTGTCTTTCTTACACATACACACACACACACAAGCACGCACCCGCACGCCACAGGGGAGGAGTTCTATTCACATTTGTTGTTTTTTGGCCAGTTTCCATCCATGAGCCAAGAACAGTTTGGCCTGAGGTGGGGGAGGAGCGTCGGGGGGAGGGGCGGGGAGCGTGGGTACACGTCCAGGACTGGGGTATGCATTTCCACTGGGGAGGGGACGCTGGAGGGGTGAAGGCAGAAGTCACCGGAGCTAGACTTTGGCTCCAGCGCTCTGGCTGCTTCAGGAGTCCCGGCTTCCCCAGCCCGCGCCCGCTACCATCTCCCCTACATTCCCGGGGCACAGAGCGCCTGGCGTCCATCATTTGCTTGGTCAGAGAGAGTGTGGGACGGGACGTGGCTGTGGGAAGGCCTTGGCTTGGGGGAGCTCTTGTTGGCCACCTCCTCCCTGTCCTCCCTCAGCAGCCTCTCTGACCCACGGAGGTCTGCAGCAGGGCCTGACACGCGCACTTTGCTCGCCTGGGGATGGGAGGAAGGCCCTCAGATGCACCAGCCACAATCATGTTGCACTTCTCAACACTTCTGGGGTCCTCAAGACTAAGCCTGGATCGCACATGCCCTGCATCCTCACTGAGGAATGCGGGGGGGGGGGGTTAGGCACAAAGACAATGCTCATTTAACACTGGTGAACTCCAACAGCTGATCCCACCGTGCCGCCCCCCCCCCACTTCCCTCCCTCCCCCTGGGACCGGGGAACCGTGTGACATTCAACCAAGTCAGTGATGGGGAAGCCGGGTCGGCATGGGCCTCCAGGGCCGGGGCTGTCAGCCCCAGGAGACTCCAATCAGTTTTGCCAGCCAGGCTCAGGCCAGCTGCTCAAGTGGAGAGCAGAGGGCGGGCCTGAGCCTGCGCAGAGCAGCTAGCGGAGGGGAGGAAGGAAAAGGCAGGCCCTTGGCCCCCCACTTCCACTTCCAGGACTGTCCCCTACCAGGGGCCCTGGCCATCACAGGACACCCGAGGTGAGGGGCGCGGCCCGGGCGGCGGGGCGGGGGGCCAGCCCCCTATCACGTGCCTCTGGGGCCATCTGCCTTGTTGTATTCGTTCAGCAGTTGCTCGTAAGGCACGGAGAGCTCCGACTCGGTGCTGGTGAAGGTGGACTCGTCGGACGAGGGGAACTCGCCGGGGGTGAGGGGCGCCTCGGCTGCGGGCCCCTCCGGGGGCTGCTCTTCCCCCACCAGGTTGTCCTCCAGGGAGGACTTAGAGGTGTCCTCGTCGGAGAGGCCAGCCTCCTCATTGGCAAAGGCGATGCTGGCGTTCTGGAAGATGAGAGGCTGGTAGTCCAGCGTCTCCCACGGCTCGCCCTCCTCGCTGATGCGGTCCAGGTGATTAACGAACACCTCCGAGCTGGGGGAGTCGTCATTGTCGTCCGCTGTGGGGGCCGGGGGCCCTTCCTCCTCTCCGGGGGGCCGGGACACATGACCCTTGCTCCTCAGCGTCTGGGAAACCTCCTCCAGGCTGGGCACCCGGTTCTTGGAGTAGACCACCAGAGGCACCAGGGATGCGGGGACCCCCGCCAGCTCTCCTGCCTGCAGCCCCAGCCCAGGCCCCGGCCCCGTGGCCCTGTCCCCACTCCCACTCGTCTTCATGGCCTTCTTTCCGATCTGCTTGATGAGGTCGTTGTACGTCTCCTCCTTCTTGGACAGGAAGCTGAAGATGTTGATGTCCTTGGCACGGGCGGAGGTACCGCCCGCCATCTGCAGGGCCTTGCGCGGGTGCGGGGAGCTCTCGAAGGACTCCTTCCGCCGCCGCCGCCGCTTCTTGATGGCTTTGTGGACCTCCACGAACATGCTCACCTTCCAGTTGACAAACAGGGACAGCCAGGCCAGGCCCAGGTAGATCCACAGCTCCACGAAGTAGCGGTACAGGGCGTGGTAGTTGGCGCTGGGGTTCACACCTGAGTGGACAGGAAGCCCCGAGGGTCAGGAAGGGACCCCCAAATCGAAAATAGACAGAGTTGTGCTGTCTACACAGACCAGAACACTGTGTGTGTGTGTGTTGGGGGGGGGGGGCGTTGCCTGTGCACCTATGTTGTTAGAGCTCAGTTAAAATCAAGATGCGGATATATATGGTAACATATACAGTCCATGTCCAATGGACCAAAGTCCGGTGTCCGTAGTGTGAACCTCCTTGAACAATCAGCAGATGGCTTAACAAAATGAATACTGGGAAGGTGATATAGGCCTTGTCCAAGAGAGGTCAGAGTTCAGGAGACAGGAAGGACAGGCAAATACCATCACAAAACTCAACATACAATTATGTAGGAGTGGACCCACGTCATCTGAGGGTAGGATGAGGAGAGACGAGGGACAATGATGGAAGAAGGGGTGACACTGACCAAGATGCACTGGACTCAACCCAAGGACTTGAAACCCCTTGGCGTTTTAAGACAGTGATGTGTGTGTACATGTATGTACATGTGTATGTATGTATATGTATGTATTTGTATTTTAGACTTTTAGAGTGAAGTGACATTTTCCAAAAAAGAAATATACACATGGACTGGGAAGGTGGCTCAGTGGTAGAGCGCTTGCCTTGCATGCATGAGGCCCTGGGTTCGATTCCTCAGCACCACATAAGCAGAAAAACCCGGGAGTGGTGCTGTGGCTCAAAGCGGAAGAGTAGAAGGGCTGAGGGACAGTGCCCAGGCCAACAACAACAAAAAAGTACTCATTACCTGACACCCCTCTGTACATCACCTTTATAATAACAATTTTAAATTTTAATTAAAAAAAAAGACTTTTAGCCAGGCCACTGCTAGTGGCTCACACTTGTAATCCTAGCTACTCAGGAGGCTGAGATCTGAGGATCACTGTTTGAAGCCAGCGACTTGTCTGAAAGACCCTGTGGTTAATTAACCACCAGAAAATTGGAAGTGGTGCGTGGCTCAAAGTGGAAGAGTGCTAGCTTTGAGTGAAAGAGCTCAGGGATAGCGCCCAGGCCCTAAGTTCAAATCCTACAACTGACTAAATAAATAAATAAATAATTGCTTTTGTATAAAAACCAGGACAAAAAGAAGCCGGTGCCACAAAGGGGCTGGGGGGGAAGCGGCAGTATAGACTCATAGGCTTACTATGAGCATGGCTCAGCAGGTCGGGATGACCCCAGGAGGCACTGACTAGGATAGGAAATATTCGGAACTGTCTTTACTGACCTCCAAGGCCTGGTCTGCCTCCCTATTTCTTGCCTTCCCTCAGTCTGGATGGCTCTGTCCTCTCTGTGTTCCTCACCTCCCAGGGCGGCCTCCTGACAATGCCTGTGTGGCGTCTGGTTCTCTGCCACATATTACGACTGAGATTTCTTTCATGGCTTCCCCCTTGTAGCTATGTTGATCTAGATCCTGTTCCCCCACCCGCACCCCCATCCCGCCAAACTAGAAGCAACTTAATTGACTAGGAGAGGGACCACCTCGTCCCTCAGTTTAGACGATTTGTGGAGGTGTTCCTTTCCATCTGACGGACGCTGTCAGTTTTGCTCACGCAGATGGGTGATAGTAACAAGAGTTGCTGGGCGCTGGTGGCTCACACCTATAATCCCAGCTACTCAGGAGGCTGAGATCTGAGGATGAACAGAAAGGTCTGTAAAACTCTCACCTCCAAAAAGATGGAGTGGGGCTGGGAAGGTGGCTCAGTGGCAGAGCACTTGCCTTGCATGCATGAGGCCCTGGGTTCCGTTCCTCAGCACCAAATAAGCTGAGAAAACTGGAAGTGGCGCTGTGGCTCAAGTGGTAGAGTGTTAGCCTTGAGCTGAAGAGCTGTGAGACAGTGCCCAGGCCTCACAACCAACAACAAGAAAAAGTAACTCCCTTCATTATGGGCTGGGAAGGTGGCTCAGTGGTAGAGCGCTTGCCTTGCATGCATGAGGCCCTGGGTTCCATTCCTCAGCACCACATAAACAGAAAAAGCCGGAAGTGGCGCTGTGGGTCAAGTGGCCTCGAGCTTAAGAGCTCAGGGACAGCACCCAGGCCCAGAGTTCAAGCCCCACGACCAACAAAAAGATGGAGTGGAGCTGTGTCAAGTGACAGAACACTAGCCTAGAGCAGAAAAAGCTAAGGGACAGTGCGTACGTAGGCCCTGAGTTCAAGCCCTAGTACCAGCAATAAAACCAACAAGGGTGCGTACAAAGAGAGCAGGGCCCTCCCTGCCCTCTGCGCTTAGGAATAGAAGCTATTGATTTCCCACCAGACAACGTGGTAGGCTCGTTATTTTTACCCATGCACCTATGGGAGAAAAAGTCTGTGGTCTTGACATCTTGTAGGAGCTGAGAAGCAAGCAAAGCAAAGCTCACTTCGCCAGCTCTGCGCTGGAAAATAAGGCCATGCTGAGCCTCTACATTATCTCCCGGCAGCAGGCAGGCCCCCATGGGCAGCTCTGCTCCATCCTGTGCCTCCCATCCACTCAGCTTCCCCTCCCGGCGTTCCAGGGCAGGAGGGGCAGAGGAGGGAGCTCCCACTGCCCTCTGGGTAATCAGCTGGGGTAGAGGTCAAGTGGACAGGAGGTAGCCGTGAGGGAAACAGACCCTGGGTCAAGAAGATTAAGAACCAAGAGGCTGTGGTGGCCACAGGCACAGTGAGTGGCTGGGGCGGGCGGGCTGGTCCCAGCCTTTCAAACAAAAGGGACAAAGAACCCATTGCCTCTAAGATTAGGGAGGGGGGAGGAGGATGCAGGGCTGAGGGGGGCAGGGCAGCCTGGAGAAGGCCTCTTGTGTTTATCCCTGCAACAAGCCAAGCCTCAAAACAGATACCTCCTCTGGAAGGCCGCCCGTGAACTGGAGGCCCCTAGCTAGGCTCTCCACTCCAACCTGGCCCACAGGAGGCCCAGGTGAGCCCAAGCTCAGGGCTCCTGAGACTGCATAGTAAGAGGAGAGAGACTACCCCTTCTCCCCTCCACCCCGGACAGCAGTGAAGGTGAGGGGAAAGGGGGCAGGGACTCACCAGCCACGAAGTCCCCGAAGCCGATGGTGGAGATGGTGATGAAGGAGTAGTAGAGGCCCTCGATGTACTTCCACTCCTCGGTCACCATGAACACGAAGGGTGGGATCACCAGGTGGACCAGGACGCCCCACACAATGAAGATGGCCGTGCACGTGATCTGGGCCTTCCGCTGCGGGGGGGGGGGGGGGCGGGAGAGAACAAGTCAGATAGGTGGCAGAGAACCAGAACCCAGAGAGCACTGGGGACTCCCAGATGGCTGGGCAGGCAGCTAGGAGAGAGGCCAGCTGGGTACCCCCCAGGCCAGCCATGCGGGGCTTACTGTCAGGAAAGAGGCAGGTGTTCTCTCCCTGACCAGGAAGGGCAAAAAGGGGCAGAAACTGCACTCTTACCATCTGTACTAACAGAGGTCCTAACAAGGGTACTCTAACACCCTTGTCCAATTTTTTTTGTTTCTTGGCCAGTCTTTGGGGTTGAACTCTGGGCCACCACACCATATCCCTGAGCTCTTTTGCTCAAGGATAGTAGCACTCTACCACTTAAACCACAGCTCCACTTCCAGCTCTTTTTGTAGTTTATTGGAGATAAGACTCTCATGGATTTTCCTCTCTGGGCTGGCTTCCAACCATGATCCTCTGATCTCAGCCTCTTGAGTAGTTAGGATTACAGGAGTGAGCCACTAGTACCCAGCCCTTGTCCGGTACTTAGAGCCTTCCAGATCTCTGTTATGTCATGGTACCCTGTCTCTCTGGCTAGCACCTACAATTGGGGACATACCAAGCTTACTCCTCTTCTGGTCAGGAACTGGCCCAGCCTCTTGGCACGTCCCCCGAAGAATTTGCCCAGGGCACTGATCCATGTCAGGCACAGTGGCACCCCGAAGAGACCATAGAAGACGCAGAAGAGGCGTCCAGTTGAAGTTTTGGGAGCCACATTGCCATAGCCTGAGGAGAGAGGCAATGAGGAGAGGCTAAGGAGGCAAAGTCCCAGCACAGGGCTGGGGCTTCCCCCTCCTCTAACGGGGTACCTGTCTCCTACACCCACATGTCTACACATGCCCCTCCCAGTGAAGTCCATCTTTTCTTTCTTTTTTTTTGGGGGGGGGAGTGATCATGGGGCTTGTATTCTGAGCCTGAGCGCTGTCCTTCAGCTCTTCAGCTCAAGGTAAGCACTCTACCACTTGAGCCACAGCACCACTTCTGGTTTTCTGGTGGTTCACTGGAGATAAGAGTCTCACAGACTTTCCTGCCCAGGCTGGCTTTGAACCACGATCCTCAGATCTTAGCCTCCTGAGTAACTAGGATGACATGCGTGAGCCACCGGCGCCCGGCTTTTCGTATCCTTTTAGAATCTGGGCTTCACTGGCCAGTGAAAGTGACGTGAGCAGGCTAAGCTCCTTCTTCCCGGATTCTCTGGCAAATGCCCAGTTGGGGATCTTCCTGCCATACTTAGAGATGCCCGGGTCACAGGTGGCTGCCTTACAGTTTCATCCTCAGCTGAGTTCCCAGCCAACCACCAGTGCCAATGGACACACGTGGAGTAGGAGGAGCTACCATGAAACCACCACACATTCCAGAAACCAAGCAGGAAAGCACAATTGGCTGAAACTAACCACCCACCAAACAGCACATCACTTAAACCTCAAACTGTGGAAACGATCAGCCACGCAAGCACAGATCACCGTGCTTATGCAGTGAGCAACCTGAGCAATCTCCTGTGTGGCTCCAGCCATTTGAGTTGTGTCACTATTTCAGTTCAAAGAGCCCCAGGCCAGGCCCCACTGGCAGGCCTGGCTAGTCACCAAGAACTTGCTAAGTCCTTATGAATGGAAGGGACAGACTGTAATTTCCTGACTCTGTCCCCAACAAGGCAGCGTCGTCACCAGAGCTGATTTCTGCAAGGTCCTGAGGAGGAGAGGACATGGGGATGGGTGTCCCCATGGTCTCTCGACTCACCAATAGTGGTGATGACTGTGGCTGCAAAGATCATCGCATTAGGCCAGTTCCAGTTGTTGAAGGTCTGATTTCCTGTGATAGCCACGCCCTGTCCTGCAGCTTCCGACACTACCTGCAAGGAGAGAGTGACAATGTAACAATGGTGGTGAGAGTTCAGCCACAGTAAAGCCAGATGCCCATGGCTCATGCCCCTCACCCTAGCTACTCAGGAGGCTGAGGCCTGAGGATCGCTATTTCCAGGCAGGAAAAGTCCATGAGACTCATCTCCAATTAACCACACAATAACCACACAAAAGCTGGAAGTGGAGCTGTGGTTCAAGTGCTAGCCTTGAGTGCAAAAGCTGAAGGACAGCACTTAGGCCCTGAGTTCAAGCCCCAGGACCAGTGCATGCGTGCACACAGACACACACACCTGCACCCACGGCAGGTGTGACACAGACACCCAGGTCTCCCCATACCCCTCCCAGCCCTCTATCCTAGGCCAACCAATCATCTGGGCTGGATCAGCAGGCAGTGTGTGTGTATTTCAGGATGACTTGAAATTGTGCTGCCAGCTCCCCTCCCCCACTGTGGATAACAGGTGGTGGGCCCAGGGAAACCTCAGGTTGCACACCTGTTATGACCTGACCAGATCCAGCCCCCACCCCATCCTTGCAGGAGGGAGGCCACAATGGGACCACCAGAACCTAGATGGTAGGAATCCATAAAGAGAGGCTCTAACATCTGAAGTTCAAATACTGCAAGCCCAAAGACAACCTCAGGATGACCCATCCAGACAAGAAGAGAAGAGGAACTCGGCCAAACACCCCATGCAATCCAAGCCAAAGGCATCAGGAAAAGACCCAGGCGCAAGGGATGGAGCCGGGGGAGCCGGGGAGACGGAATTTCTAAGCCACCCGAGACATGACTGAGGTTTGGTGGGAAGGGACGGGCGGAGGGCCCTGAAGGAATGTGCAGGCCGTGTAAATGATCCACATACTCTGTGAAGAATTTTCCATGATGACATGCTTGCCCCACACCATCAAACCGCACAATCCTGGCTCCCCCAACCATTTCCAAAACACTGGCTATGTGGAAGATAGGCATCGTCGCCTTGACCCTGGGCCAGGACAAGGTCCTGCCTTCAGAGAGCTCGCTGTCCAGCAGGCCCAGCCCTCACGCGAGCAATTACCAGACTACATTTAGATACTGACAGGCCAGCAGAACTGAGACAAAAATACTAAAGACCATCCATAAGTATTTCTTCCCAGCTGGGTACCAGTGCTCATACCTGTAATCCTCAGAAGGCTGAAATGTGAGGAATACAGTTGGAAGCCACACCCAGAAGAAAAGTCCTTTGAGACTGTGGCTCTCCAATTAAGCAACGAAAATATAGACGTAGAGCTGTGGCTCAAGTGGTAGAGCACCAGCCTTGAGTGAGAAAGCTAAGAATGTAGCATCCTGAGTTCAAAACTCCTGTACAGGCACCCAAAACAAGAAATATTTCTAATGCTGGGGTTGAACCCAGGATCTCACACATTGCTAGGTTGAGCATCCTACCACTGAGCTACATGAGCTACACCCCCAGCCTCAAAAGATTTGTGAAAAACCTTTTTCTTTCTTATTCTTTTTTTGTCAGTTGTAGGGTTGAACTCTAGGCCTGGGTGCTGTCCCTCAGCTTTTCAGCTCGGCTTTTTAAGCCAAGCGCTCTACCACTTGAGCCACATTGCCACTTCGAGATTTCTGGTGGTTAATTGGAGATAAAAATCTCACAGACTTTCCTGCCTGGGCTGGCTTTGAACTGTGATCCTCAGATCTCAGCCTCCTGATCAGCCAGCATTATAGGTGTGAGCCACTGGTGCCCGGATCTCTCTCTATTGATCCTGGGGCTTGAATTCAGAACTCAGGGCTTGGGCACTATGCCTGAGGGGCTTTTTTTGTTTTGCTCAAGGATAGTGGTCTACCACTTGAGCCACAGCTACACTTCTTTTTGGTAGTTAATTGGAGGTAAGAGTCTCATGGACTTGCCTGTCTATCGAGGCTGGCTTCAAACTGTGATCCTCAGATCTCAGCCTCCTGAGTAACTAGGATTACAGGCGTGAGCTACTAGTGCCTGACAAACAAACCTTGGAAAGAAGAGAATGAGGAAGTGCCAGTGCCCTGGGTGCTGACATTAAACAGAAGACAGAGAGACGCCTCCGCTCCTCTCTGCCTCCACCTGGTATCTCTGACACTCATTTTAAACCAGACGGCTTAAAAATAAAACAGATGAGAATACAATAAAACAAAGCCAGCCTGGGCTACAAAGGGAGAGACTGTCTCAAAAAATAAGAAAATAGGGCTAGGAAGGTGGCTCAGTGGTAAAATGCTTGCCTTGCATGCATGAGTCCCTGGGTTCAATTCCTCAGCATCACATAAGCAGAAAAAGCCGGCAGTGGTGCTATGCTCAAGTGGTAGAGCGCTAGTCTTGAGCTGAAGAGCTGAGGGACAGTGCCCAGGCCCAGAGTTCAGGCCCCATGACTGACAACAAAGAAAGGAAGGAAAAGAAAATATAAAAAATTTAAAAATCCATAAGAATTCCTTTAAGTAGGAACTGAATCACTGATGGAAGATGACTCTGTGTGATTCCCAAGGAATTGTGGGCCACAATAAAACACCTCTGAACACAAGCTACCTCTATTTCCACACAAAAAGGAAAAGGGTAGACTTTAAAAATCTGGAAATCAGCCAGGCGCTGGAGGCTCATGCCCGTAATCCTAGCAACTCAGGAGACTGAGATCTGAGGATCATGGTTCAAAGCCAGCCCAGGCAGGAAAGTCCGTGAGTGAGACTCTTATCTCCTATAAACTACTAGAAAACGGGAACTGGCACTGTGGTTCAAGCAGTAGAGTGCTCGCCTTGCAGGGACAGCACCCAAATCCAGAGTTCAAACCCCAGGACTGACCAAAAAAAAAAAAAAAAAAGAATCCGGAAAGCAAGCCTCTATCTTGGGCAACTTTTTGCTAGTTTATTTCAATCTATCTTACTATGTGGCCTCCATTGCATCATAATCCTCTTGCCTCAGCCTCCCCCGCTGATGCCTGGCTTTTGGAAACTTCAAAGAATCAAGTGTTTGAAACACTTCCGGAAGAGGAAAGGGTGGGCCAGAAAAGTCCTTTTCTCCAAAGGGTATACACCTAGATCGACTTCTTGTGGAATTTAGTCAACCTGAGCTAGCAGGACAATAGAGATGGGTTTTGAGATAGAGAGATGCTTGTAAACAGAAGAACTGTGGCACGGAAGAAAAAGATTAGCTGGGTTAATTCCAAAGTAGTGATTCTAGTCACCACCAATCCTGAGTGGATCTCTAGAACTGAGCCTCAGGCTCAGGCTGGGAAGGTGGCTTAGTTGTAGAGTGCATGCCTAGCATGCGTGAAGGCCTAGGTTCAATCCCTCAGTGCCACATAAACAGAAAAAGCTGGAAGTGGCACTATGGCTCAAGTGGTTGAGTGCTCACCTTGAATAAAAGAAGTTCAGGGACAGTGCCCAGGCCCTGAGTTCAAGCCCCAGAACTGGCAAAAAAAAAAAAAAAAAAAAAGCCCTTTTCCTCAAAGGCACTGACAGCTTAAATGCCAGAAGCAGAGAACACAAAAATAAGTGTTGGGTATCAGACAGACTGATGGTCATCATACTACTACAGCAATACCCAGGCCCACAATCCCCTGCGCAGGCAACATCAAGAAAACCCACAGGACTAAGATAGGCATTATCTTCTACATTTAACTCCTGCCTTATTTGGATCAGAAAAGACCAATCTGTCCAAGACCAGTCCTTGGGCTTCACTGAACTTGAGTCAACAAACATGGCTGCCAAGAAAAATTAAATACCAAGTCAGAGCCATGAGTACCTATCTCCCCAAGGTGGGGGACAATGGTGCATTCTGGGTACTGGGGGCCAGGGGTCAAGATAAGAGGGGGCGGCTCTTGGGGATAAAGATCTAGCTCTGAATGGGTGACTTGTACAAAGATCAGCTTCTGACAAGAAGTATGTAGACCAAGGGTGAATGAGTGTCATTTATCAGGAGTACGGTACGGTATGACTTGAACGGCAGCTCAACGGGGGGGGGGGGGGGAGGGGGGGACGGACGCAAGAGCTGCTTGGCAAAGGCTGTTGGAAGGACGCTGTATATGCCAGGCACAGGGGGGTACACAGTGAACACACAATCCTGCTGTCCCACAGGCTTATTATCCAAATAGATGATGGGAGATGGGACCCTACTGGCTGGCATGGGCAGAGTGGTCAGACATGCTAAATGCCTGGAGGCTGAAGGCCACGTCCATGCACAACACTGCACTGCTTAGACACACAGAGCCCAGAGCCCACCCAAGGTAATTTGTGGTGTAGAAATCGTTTGGAAAAGGTGAAGTAGGGGGCTGGGAAGGTGGCTCAATGGTAGAATATTTGCTTTGCATGCATGAGGCCCTGGGTTCAATGCCTCAGCACCACATAAGCAAAAAGAAAAAACACGGAAGTGGTGCTGTAGCTCAAGTGGTAAAGCGAGTGCCCAGGTCCAGAATTCAAGCCTCCCCCCCCCCAAAAAAAGGCGAAGTAGCTACTGAACTAAATGCTGACAAAACAGTCCTTGAAAAAGGCCATATTAAGCCAGGTGCTGACCTCAAGAGGCTGAAATTTGAGGATCATGGTTCAAAGCCAGCCCAGGCAGGAAAGTCTCATCTCCAATTAACCACCAGAAAATCAGGTGTAGTGCTATCCTTGAGCACTAAAGGTTAGGGACAGCGCTCAGGCCCTGAGTTTATAAGTCCATGATGGATTGGGGGGGGGGAAGGAACCACTACATTATTAGACTGGGTGCTGTGTAATTCTAGCTACTCAGGAGACTGAGATCTGAGGATCATGGTTCAAAGCCAGTCTGGACAGGAAAGTCCATAAGAGTCTTATCTCTAATTAACTACCAAAAAGTTGGAAATGGAGCTTTGGTTTAAGTGGTAGAACATCAACTTTGAGGGAGAAGCTAAGGGGCAGCACCCAGGCCCTGGGTCATGCATGCATGCGTGCGCACACGCACGTGCACGCACACACGCACGCACACACACACACACACACACACACACACACACACACACACACACACACACATA